AAGATCTCTGAATGCCTGCCTTCAGAGCCATTTTTCCATTGCCTTGACTATTAACACCTGAGCCCCTTCTTCATGCTAATCTCTTTAATAACAGATTGCTCAGCAATACCCTAATTCTCTTGAACATTCTTTTCCTTACATGGCCAGGCTGAAAATTTTTCAATTTTTTTACTCTGCTTCCCTCTTGATTAAAAGTCTATCTTTAAGTTATTTCTTTGTTCCCAAATCTCATTGTGAGTGGACAAAAGTAACCACACAGCATCTTGAGTGCTTTGCTGCTTAAAAGTTTCTTCCACCAAATATCCTAGTTCATCATTCTCAAATTCAGCCTTCCACAAAGCCCTAGGGCCTGAAAACAATGCAGCCAAGTTCTTTGCAATTGTATAACAAGGATGGCCTTTACACAACTGTCCAATACTTTTCCTCTCATTTCCATCTCAGATCTTGTTGGAATGATTGTTATTGTCCATATTTCTATCAACATTCTGGTCACAATCACTTAAGTAATCTCTAAGAAATTCCAGACTTTCCCTTAGTCTTCTCTTCTTCCAACCTCTCCCAGAATCACCCCTAATGTTTTGCTCATGGCAATCTAGGCTTTTTCTAGTCTGCACCTCCAAATTCTTCCAGCCTTTACCCATTACCCAGTTCCAAAGCTGCATCTTCACTTTCAGATACCTGTGTAACAACAATCCCTCTTCTTGGTACCAATTTTTTATCTTAGTCCCTAATAAATCAATTTCTTATAGTTCTGGTGGTTAGGAAGTCCAAGTTCAAGGGGACACACATGGCTTCGGGTACGAATCTCATGCTATAAGGCAGAAGGCATCAAGGAGAAAGAGAGAGACACACTGATAGCCAAACTGGTTTTTATAACAGACTATCAGAATAATTTATTAATTCATTATCCCATCAATCCATTAATCCACGAGTAGATTAATTCATTCATGAGAGAAGAGCCTCCATGATCCAATCAGCTCTTAAAGGCCCTGCCTTTTAATACTGCTACATTGGGGTTTAAGTTTCAACATGAGTTTCAAAGGGGACAAATATTCAAACCATAGCACCAATCCAGAAAAAATATGCTGACCCCATGAGATTCACACTTTGGGGCTAAGGATTTTGAACTGTTAGGACAGCAGTGGGGAAGATGAGCAGCAGGTATCAGTGATTCATCCTTTCCTACTACATACCGATAAACAGGCCTCTGTCTTGACAGCCTCAGTGTAGATTTAATATGCTGTGCCTCATAGCCCCAAATTAGCACATCTTTAATTTAGAACATCCACAAAAAAAGTTGTGCCTTCTAACTGAATGATTTGAATTTCAATGACAAAAGTTATAGAATAAGTATTCAATGGGAAAATAGGCATGAATAGATTTGATTTTAAGATAAGCTCTATGACTGGGGTATAGAGAATAGACCGGAATAGGCGCATGCTGTAGACTACAATACAAGTTAGGAGGCAGCAGTGAGAACCTAAGCTAATGCTGAGAAAACAGAAATGTACAAAAGAATAACAGTACATATTTTATCTTTGTAAAATCAAAGATGCCTTTCATTATGAGATGCATCATTATTTTATGTATCACCAATAAAGAAAACTTGCTGCCAATTATTGATAAAATGCAAAAAATAGTGACAGAGAGACTTCCATGGTGAAACTGAAACTGTATTATAGAACTTACCTTTTTACAATACCTAATGAGATGAGCAAAAGAAAAAAAAAATGAGAAAAAAACCCAGCATAAACTGAAGCAAAAATAAGCTTAATATGTATGATGTCCACTTGTATACCTAATCTTGAATCATACTCCACATCTTTAAAATAAAATATTTTTTAAATTTTTAAAAACTCTGTATGGGCAGTCAGAGTTACTTCCAATTATGGTGCATTAATTCATAACTCTCCAATAGATAACAATCATAAACTCTGGGCAAAATATAAACAAACAAAAACTATCTAAGGCACTGAGGAGCAACTAAAAGCCAATATAAACTGAAGTTGGCACTTGTAAAAATGGAATTGCACTCCATGAGTTTCTTATTTGGTTTTTTGCCTGAGGTCAGGCTACAGCTGGAACCATGCTGAGTGGCTGGAATTTGGATATAAACTCAGGGTCTTACCAGCTTTAGGAATCAGAAAACAGAGTTTAGGCCTCCCATAGTAGTTAGGAAATAAGGAGGGAACATCCAAAAAGAAGACTGGCATAGAGGGAGCTCTCCAAAATCTGTGCATAGGCTTTGCCCAAACATCTGACTAGCCCTGAACTCCAGATATATGGAGTAGACACCAAGCTGCCCTTCTTAAGACAAAATAACAAAGATTTCAGATGCTCCCCCTTCAGGGAGAACAAAGATTAGAGCTTGAGTGCAGCCAAGTAAACTGGCTGCTAAAACAAAAAACTTAAATTATTCAGAGGAGCATAACAAATCTATAGTCCCTACAATGGAAAACTTAATATATCCAGGATAAATTCCAAAATTTATTACTAGACACAGAAGGGAAAAAAAAAAACAAAAAAACCTCAGGAAACTGTAATCCACAGTCAAGAAAAAAGGTAATCTATAGAGACCAAACCCTGAAATGACCTAGATGTTGGAATAGGCAGATAAAATCTTTGAAGCATTTAAAATTCTTAAAATTTTAAAACAACAGTGTTTGAGAATATAAGGGAAAATATACTCCTGTTGAATGAACAGATAAGAAGTCTCAGCAGAACAACAGAACTATAGCAATTTATTGTGTGTTTATAGTGTATGTAAAAGTACAATGTAGAACAGCAATATAACAAAGGATAAGAGGGAAAAATTGGGAAAACACTGCTGTAAGGTTCTTACACTTCATGTAAAACACTATAATATTACTTAAAGATAGATTCTGATTAACTGAAAATGTATATCATAAACCCTAGAACAAGCAGCACAAACTTTTAATAATAAATAAAAATCAGGAGAAGTAAAATGAAATAGAAAATGCTCAATTTACCCAAAGTTCTCGTAATTAAGCAAACTCTACAGGAAAAAAAGTAGGGGGTATGGATAGAGAAGGAAGGAGAGGAACTTAATGCACCAAGGTAAAGATCCTACCTTGGAAGAAAATGTAACTCAAGATACAAAGTTACTTTACAGAATATCTTAAGAGCATGAACTTAGTAAAACAAGAACTTAATGACAAGATGGTAAAACAACAAGAAGGAAAATAATATAGTAGACCTAAGGAAACATTATAAAGCTAATAAGTAAATTAGAAACAGTAAAGAATGGAAGAGACCTTGCTGAAAATCAAATTACACATAAAGATAAAAAATCTAAGATGATCAATATGAATACAGAAGAAAAAGATAAGGAAGATAAAGCACTTAGAATGTAGTAGATATGGAAGACAAACAATCCAACATAAGGATAATTTGTGTCTCTGAAGTTAAAAATCAGAAAATGAAAGATTTATTAAAATATATGTAATATTAATAAAAATTCTTGAAATTAAAAAAGAATTGAATTATCTGATTGAAAATATACCGTGGTCTGAAAAATTGATGCAGAAGGTGCAACACTAACATATACTAGCTATGCTACTGAAATAATTATTTAGGCAACCAGCCAGTGAAAGCAAATTCCCAATAGGAGAGAAAATTAAACAAACATCTTCACAGCCAGACTCAGTATCTAAAGGTCACGGATCAAAGTCTACAATATTCTGAAGGGGGAAAATGTGACCTGTGGATATTAGATCCAGCCAAGATACAGCTCTAATTTTCTTGAGTTTCATTTAAACTTCTATTCTTTTGATACATTCAAGGAAAAGTAATTCTTACATACAACAGCATCTATATAAATTCATTTTCATAAAAGTATATCTTTCTACTTAACTCTCCTTTGTATATATGTACATAGAAAGATGCCAGGAGTAATGTTGACAGAGGTTATTTCTGGGTAGTGGAATTGATTTGATTGTTTACTTTAATCTTTTACTCAACTGCATTAATACCTATCTCACAGGGCAGCGGGGAATACGAAAAAAAACATGATATAGGAAGATGGATGCTTAGTATAGTACCTAGCATGGGAGGCTTTGAAAAGCAGAGTACTGGAGTCTGCCATAAGTGATCCTGGTTAGTGAAACCAGGCTGAAACCTGAGAATTCATCATTTTTCAGCTTGCTAGTGAGGTGCCTCTGAGACTCATAGAAAGTGCTCAGTGAATATTTACTGCAATGAATTAAGTTGAAACCAGACAGTGACAACCAATTTTGAATGAGCCAGTCCCAGGCAGGAAACCCTTGAAGCAAGAAATCACTAAGGAGAAATCCCATTTAGGCAAAGAGAATGACCCAAGGCCAGAAAGGGAGAGTATTTGATAGTATTATTCATACATTCATCCTCAAAGAACCAGACCCCTGTTTCCTTCACAACTACCCAACATGTTGAGAACTCTGAGTACTTTATTGATGAGGCTGGTATAAAGACTATTGGCACAAGCAAAAATGCTGCTTCTCCAGGAGCATATGTAGTTTTATATGACTACATAAGCCTGGCTTTACATGTCTAATATGACTTTACTCAACTATCCGTCCCTTATATTAAGATTTTCCCCATCATTAAAGGAATATGTGCTCATTATTTAAATTTTTTTTGAAAAGACAGAAGCAGCAGAAAGAACAAAATCACACACAGAGACATATCACTTAAAGACAACCTGTGAGTATTTCTGAATATTTTCCACTCAGTTACTGATATTTCATGTTCTCATTAACTCTTCATGGAAATCATTGTTCCTGGCTATACATTTTACTGTGTGAATATGCTGTGACTCATTTAGCCCTTTTTTCTATTGTTAGGCATTTATGTTAGTCTTATAAATAATAAAACCATAACTATCTTCGTGGACAATGCATTTTATACATTTGAAAGTATTTCCTCATGAAAGATTTGTAGAAAAGGAATTGCCATGCCAAGAGATATTGAAATCTTTAGCTATATACTTTAAAAATACTCACCTTGATTTTCCATAAAATATCTAAGGTTCAAGTCATTATTTATGCTGAGGTTCTTCAAAAAAACATTGTAATCCACTGCAGTATCTTTATTGATGTTGTAGTGTTTTGAAAACCTAAAATACAAATGTTCTTTAGAAAGGAGAGATTATGATACAAGAAATCTAAAACGAAACAAGTCTGTTACTAAGGTATCCTCTACATGGGGCTGGCATTAATTTTAATGCCTGTTTCTAGTTACAGAGGGAGTTAAGACGTCAACCACAGAAAATGTTACTGTAAGATTTTTTTAAATGCTGCCACTTTGAGATCACTTCTTCGGCCTCCCCATGGATGCACAGAGATCAGAATGAGACAGAGGCGTGGCAGGACCTGTGGGGGAATACCCCAAACTTTAGGACACCCAAGGAGCATCTCCCTTCTTTGGTGGGAAAGGAGGGAGATGGGCTTAGAGTTATCTCTTTACTCACACAGCAGAAGCAGGTCCCACTTGCTTTTAATAATTGGAGGAAAATGAGTCTGTCTACATAAAATTTTCATAACCAGGGATATCTAGCATATCCTCTCTCAAGAGAGAAACTGAGGCCCACAGATGGCATGTGGTTTCAAAACAAGGGGTGATCGAGGGGACAAAGCTTCTTGAAGACTTCTACGATTTTTATATAGAATAAGAAAAATTTTAAAAACTTAACCACTGTCTAGCCCTAAAATAGATTGAAATACTTTTTTAAAAGTTAAGATACATAGGGTGTTTGGGACTTTTTAAAAATGAATTTTCATCCGGGCTTGGTGGCTCAGCCTGTAATCCCGCACCTTGGGAGGCTGAGGTGAGTGGATTGCCTGATCCCACGGGTTCGAGACCCGCCTGGGCAACTTGGTGAGACCTCATCTCTACAATAAATCAAAAAATTAGCTGGGCGTGGTAGCGTGCGCCTGTAGTTCCAGCTACTTGGAAGGCTGAGGTGGAAGGATCGCCGGAGCCCAGCAGGTTAAGGCTGCGGTGGCCGGGAGTGGCCACTGCACTCCAGTCGGGGCGACAGAGTGAGACTCCAACTCAAAAAAAAAAAAAAAGAATTTTCTATTATTCAAAACTGCCACTTGATAAATTGTGTTCTAGATGATTTCTGTGTTATTACATTTCTATAAATTGACAGTGTTTGAATGTTTGGTTATATTATCTCCATATGTGTGGGTTTCTATAATTATCTAATTTCATACTGCTTTCTAAAAACTTAGCAATTATCACTTAAGGTATTTGTTATTTTTCTGTTTTCCAAATTTAACAAAAAGTAATGTCATGTAGTCATTTCAATGCACACCTTCCTTCCACTTTAATGAATCTTGCCTATTGTTTTAATAAGAAAAATGAACTTTAGATATGATAGCTGCCAGATGTTAACACTGAAACTCCCTAAACAGCTTCATCTTTTACCCAAGGTCTTTGTCTTGCGAAAATGAGGTGGTAAGTGGGAGATCCCAGAAGGTGGTACCTAACACACTCCTTTTTGAGTGGCTGCTGTATAGAAAGTGTTAGTAAGTTTGCCGCACTAGGAAAAAGACAGCATACTGATGAGAGACTCATTGTTAACCTTCCAGTTTTCTATGAAAATTCAACATTCTTTAAAACCAGTGTTTGCTCAGAATCCTGACCTGTATGAATGCCCAGGCCATCCACATTCACAATTCTGCTGCATATTCATCCAGGACAGCAGGTAATGTTTTCTAAACTTGCAATTCAAAAATGAAGCCACAGTACTGCACAAGAATGCAGCGCCTCAAAAGCCTTTTTACAAGAAGAAAGGGTGGGAGACAGAACCATTCTAAGATAAAACAAACAGGCTCATTGTCCCAGGGACCTGAACTCTGGGCAGGAGGACATATAATCTTGCCAAGACCAGCAGGCAAGTCAGTCACACAGGAAGGCCAGTCAGTCACACCAGAAGACAGAGTTTAGGGGAGCACGGAAGGACTCCAGTCAGCCTATAAACCCTCCAGCACCACCTGGAACTGGGCTTCATGCTTCTGCTCAGGCAACAGGGTGACGTTCAGTGATTATTTCTTTGTTTTACAAGACTGGGTATAATTATTTTACTTAGAGTGAAGTGAGATGCAAAAGGAAAAACCCAGTGGGTTTGGGGATATAAAACGTCGTGGTATTTTATCCTGGGTCTCTTATTTTACATAGGTTAGACAGAACTATGCTGCCTAAAAGGAACTTTGTATCATAGAGTAAAAGGTGTTCACAGAATCCTTATGGTTGTAACAGTCACGGTGAAATGAGCACCTAGTGTGTGCAGGCGTATCACAGACCTATAATGCACATTACCTCTAATCTTCACCCCTGTCCTGCAAAGTGGGCTGCTCATTCCCTATTTCTTTAAGTGAAAACTGAATCTCAGAGAGACCCAGAAGCTTCCCTGAGGCCCTAGAACCAGGGAGGGCACAGCACAGACTCCACCCCAAGCATGCCTGACTTCAAAGCCCAGGCCATTTCTACCACACCAAAAGCCGAATGTTGATAATAAATAGAAAGCTGTTAGATAAAAGAAAGGATTCAAAAACTCATTGTATTCCCTGCTCAAAAGCTAAAAAGACAAAGTTAATATTGAAGCAGATTCTCGAGGAAAGAGTATATTCTTGAGCTTCAATAAGAAAAGCATTAAAGCAATTGAAGAAATGGTCTACTTTTGATCTTTTGTGCTTCTTAGTCTAAAGAAAAGCAATTCTATTATGTTAAGTTTCTCAGGTCTTATCATGAAAACAGCATTGTTTTTGAGGCTTAAAAAAAATCTCAAATAAAAATTTGTGGAGTTCTTTATTATTCAATACTTATGAGATGGGGAAACAGACAGCAACATTTTTTATAGATTTACTAGGTTGAAGACTGCAGTGCCAAACACAAGGTTTATTGTCAAATAAAACACTGTTTTGTTTTTTGATTGCCTGTTTTAGAAGAGCGCTGCCTCTGTTCTATAATTGCGTGCACAAAATTATTTAATTTGTTTTGTTTGGATCTTATTCTGGACACTTTCCCAGCCGGAAAAGATATAAAAATTAAAACATCTATTATATCTTTTATATTCTGAGGTGGGTTATAAAGAGGAAAAAAGAATAAGAAAATATTCAAAAGAGTAAGAAATACCCATTTTGTAAAGCCTGCCTGCTTTTCAGCCCCTGCAATGTCAGTGCCACATCACATGCCCTCTAGACTTCCTTGCCTCGGGGGCAAATTCCTCCTCTACTTCCAGCAGCAGCCGCATTGTCTTTATGAGATGTGTGAGGAGCTACAGGAACCCATTTTAATTGCAGCTTAGAACTACAGTGCAATAGGAAAAGCTCAGGCGCTGGTTAAAGTAATGAGGCTCCGTGCTTTTGTTAATGGCCTGCAGGGTATTTGGGAAAGTGTTTGGGAAAAGGCTAGAAGAAGGACCACCAGACTTCTTGGCTGGGTACTGCATCAATTAACTTAAACATGGCCCATCTTCTAGTGGCTTTCACGCAAAACTCAAGTAACCACAGAAAAGCCAAGCATTTGACTTCTTCTAAATGATCTGGAGTTTACTGAAGGCAAAAAAAAAAAAAAAAAAAAAAAAGCCCATGCAGGCTCCCACACACTGCCCTCGGAGTCAGGAGCAGGTGGCCGCAGCTTTCAAATGCCATAAAGCAGCAAAATGTTCTGTTGTTCATCATTCCCCAGCTATGCTCCCCTCAATCTTAGCAACAGCCATCCTCAAAGGAAAATTAAGTTTCTGTTATTATATTGGGATGCAGGGCCAATAGGGAGCACATCAACAAATGAATAAATCCTGTCATTTTTCTAACCTGAGGCTTCAAGTCAAAATCAACTGTGACCTGGAAATATGTGGGATGGAGGATGTGGTGCCATGTGGGAAAAGAGACCACTGGTGATGGATTACTCAAATAACATAGATGTGTTCAAACCTGCAGGACCCACCGCCAGGGTTCTTAAGGAATTATACCTATTAGCTCATTTTTGAAAATTCATGGAACATGAGAGAATGTCCAGTGAGCACCTCTTTGAGAAAGAAGATGGGAGGGAGGATGATGGATGGATGGAGCCAATGAACCTAACAGGTCTCATTTTGAAATTGGTTTAAAGTTCTACCAAGCAGTCTCTCACCGTGCCTTTATTTACTTACTTTTCGTATTCCTCATCTCTGAACTTCAAACAGAAGATCTCCAGAACCCTCCTCAGTTCCTGTGGTTGAACCAGTCCAGTCTTGTTAACATCAATGAGCTTAAAGGCTTTGATAACAGTTTTAATGTTTTTGAAAACCTATGTATAAAAAGTGATTTAGGAAAAGTCAAAAGATCCAGTGTTAAAAACCAAATGGTAATAAAAAATGAAAGTTTTAAAATACTTCTTGTAAAATAAAATGTTTTCAAAGATTCACAGTGGTAGGCATTGCAAAATGACATGTCTATGGAAAAAAGAACACTTTGCATTTATTGAATGTTTTCAAGGCAATTTTCTCTGTAAATGGTCTTTGTAATTTAAAAAAAAAAAAAAAACACCTCTTTCTGATGTAAAGCAATAAGTCTCATACACAATTCATTCTCTTTTAGGTTTAGGACCAGATGAAAAATCTTTTTTGTTAATTGATACTTAAAAACTACATTTCTGGCATAGCTGGACTTGTACAATTTTTATTTTTCACAGCCATATGCAAACTATTTTTACTAGGAGTTGGAAAATAAGACTATATATCTCAACCCCTCTGAATTTTTTTAAGATATTACAGAAAAGTTTCATAGAGAACTCCAAATTCAGCAAATGATATTCACAAGGCACACAAATGTGCCAGGCATTAGGATAGGCCCTGTGGAGATATAGGAAGTGCAGAGAGCTGTGCTCTTGCCCTTAAGCTACTTATATTCAAAGGAAAGAAACAACCTTTGGGCCTCATAGGAGTGTTGATGAAAAAGCCAAACTCTGTACAATATTTAAGTATTTTTAAAGAGACTTATTCTGAGCCAAAGATGAGTGACCTAGGCCCGTGACACAGTCCCAAGAGGTCCTGAGAATGTGTGCTCAAGGTGGTTGAATTACAAGTTGGCTTTATACATTTTTAGGGAGACAGAAGTTACAGGCCAAACATAAATCGATACATGTGAGATTTACATTGGTTTGTCCCAGAAAGGTGGGACATCTCTGAAAGGTGGGAGGGGCTTACAGGTCATAGGTAGATTCAGAGATGTTCTGATTGGCAATTGGTAGGAAGAGTTAAGCTCTGCCTAAAGAAATTGACATCAGTAAAAGAAATGCTGGAGTTAAGATAAGGGGGAGGTTGGGGAAGCCAAGGTTCTTGTTATGTAGAAGTCTCTAAGTAGCAGTCTCCAGAAAAAATAGGCAGTACATGTCTTAAAACATCCTCTATAGATGCAAATTTCTCCAAGAGATGGATTTGCAGGGTCACTTGAAAATGTGTCAAAGAAACACATTTTGGGATAAAATATTTTGATTTCCTATAGGGTCTGTTATCTGTCATATGATGCTATACCAGACTCAGGTTGGAATTTGGTATCTTATTGCCACAATCTGTTTTGTCGGTCTTATGATCTCTATTTTAATGTTAATGCTGGTCAGTTGTGCCTAAAATTCCACAAGGGAGAGGATGAAGTGCGGCATTTTAGACTGCCTCTTCCACTATGGCCCAGAATTTGTTTGTTAGGCAAGCCTTGCCCAAGAGAGAGTCTGTTCAGTTGGCTGGGGCGGGGCCTAAGATTTTATTTTTGGCTTACAGGAGAAAAGCACAGAGTTGTGTTACTGAATCCTTTCACCCCACCTGAAGGAAGTATCACTTTCTCCATTTTAGGTAAGGAAATAGACCATTCCCTGCTCAGACTCTACACCTTGTTATTACCAATGACCTCTGACTCTGCACAATCAAGCCCCATGCCACAGCCACCCCCATCTTTCCAGCTCACTCTCTTGGGCACCCAAAGCCCATAGCCCTGACCCCACCAGGCCTTCCCCCGAGGCTCCTGCCTCCTTCTACACTTCTCCATTCCTCCTAGCCCACCCATCTGTACCATTGCCCCCTTGCACATATTCTCGACTCTCTCCTCCCTCCTACCCCCTCCTACTCTCTTGGGGTAAATCCAACTCTCTGCCTCTTCCAAACCCATTCAATGACCTAATATGGCTGGAGAGAAATACATCATGAGCACTTTCCTGGCTCCCCTAACTTGAGACCACTAACGTCACCAGGATGGGTGCTGCTGTACAGTAATCACTCTCTACTGTCACAGTCCACTCCATACCATCATGCTCACACATGCTCACAGACACACACTCATATACACTCATACTCACATACACTCACACACATAAGGTCACACACATACTTACACCATCACTCATACATATACACACACATATATTCACATACCCATGCTAACACATATAGTCACTCACACACATACACTTGCACACACGCCATTCACACACCATTCCCATCTTCTCCATTCTCCTAACCTCAGATTTCTCATTCCACCTTTTCTCGCTCCAGTGACGATCTTGCTTCTTATTTTACAGAGAAAAGAGAAGTAACTACATGACAACATTCCCATGACCCCTTCACTACAGTCTGCCTGGCTCCATGAGGTGCCTCCATCCTGCTCCAGGGATAAACCTCCATGATCCTACTTATGGCCAGAGAGCCACACAATGTACACGACCCTGTCCCTATCTCCATGTGAGGAAATGCTTTGGTGCCATCTGTCCCACTCATTCTCAGGCCATCCACATTAAGATGAACTATCTCAGAAAAAAAACCTCCCTCCTTGCCTCACCTCTTCCTCTAGTTACCTGTCCCCTTGTACCAAAATCCCCTCTCAAGATCATTGCATAAAAGAGACACCTGCACTCACATGCTTACCACACACAATTGACAATTGCAAAGATGTGGAATCAGTCTAAATGCCCATCAACTGATCAGTGGATAATGAAAATATTATATATATATTTTTTTCACACAAACATACCATGGAATACTATTCAGTCATAAAAAACAATGAAATAATGTCTTTTGCAGCAACTTGGATGGAATTGGAGAACATTATCCTAAGTGAACTAATGCAGGAACAGAAAACCAAACACCACATGTTCTTACTTATAAATGGGAGCTAAACTAAGGATCTGCAAAGGCAGAAAGAATGGTAGAATGAACACTGGAGACTTAGAAAGGGGAGGGGGGTGGGGTGGAGAGACAAAAAAAAAAATCACTTCTTGGGTACCATGTGCACAGGTAGGGGTGGTGGGTACTTAAAGCCCAGGCTTCTCTGCCACTCTACAACGCAGCCATGGAACCAAAAACTATTTGTGCTCCCTAAAGCTATTGAAATAAAAAGAAAAAAGTAAAAACAACACCATCTCCACCACAATGTCTACACGTTTTTTTTTTAAGTTTCCAACGTGTCCTTTCTCTCTCTTTTAAAATCTCTCTGATCATTTTTGTCCCCACCACTGCACAAAACTGCTCTTGTCAGGGTGACTAAAGACTTCCACCAGGACAAACCCAAGGGCCGCTTCTCAGTCCTCATCTTGCTGTTCCAGCAGCAGCATTTGACACAGCTGCTGGGCTCTTCTTCCCTGAGGCATGCTTCCTACTTGATTCTAGAACCAGCTCTCCCTGGTTCCCCTCTGGCTTCTCTGGCATCTCCTTGGTCTCCCTTCCTATTTCCTCCCTGTCTTCCTACCTCCATGCCTGATGTACTTTAGGACTCAGTCCTCAGTGCTCTCTGCTTCCCTGGCCATACTTACCTCTCAGAGGTTCAGTCCTTTTGCTTCAATGACCAATTGATGACTCCCAAAGATCTGTCTCCAGCCCTGGTCTCTTCTCTGAGTCCAAGTTAGGATATCCAACCTCCCAGTTGACGTCCAACTTGAGACCCTAACAGCCATCTCAGATTTATCAAGCCCAAGCTGCTCTGCCCCAACAAATGGTAAATCCATTCTACCAGGCTCCTTTTTTGCTCACATGTCATATCCAGTCCTCCAGCAGAGCCCATCAGCACCTCCCTTCAGGACATTCCAGAATTCAGTCATGTCTCACCACCTCCACCCTGCACCCTACGGGCTGGTGTAACAGCCTTCTGCTTGGTCCTCCAGCTTCCACACTGATTCCACACAGCAGCTGAGGTATTTGTACTTAAATATGAGTCTGAGAATGCCCTCCTCTGCTCAAAGCCCTCCGGTGGCTCCCAGCCCACTCACCGTGACCCACCAAGCCCCACTCAACTTGTTCCTGGTGACCCTCTGGCCTTGTCTCCTTCCACTCGTCCACTTGCTGGCTGGTTTCTGGCCACATCAGATTCCGCTGCTTCTCTGAGCGCTTGGCTCCTCTGTCTCAAGGCGTTGGTCTTGCTGCTCCTTCTGCCTGGAACCCTCTTCTCCGGATACCCTGTGGCTCACTCCCTCACTTCATCCAGGTCTTGGCCCAAATGTCACCTTACCAGAAAGTCCTTTCCTAACCACACGCATACATTAGGACTCCCCATTCCCAACACTCTTATCTTCTACAAAGCCCTCCTCACCGACTAACATGACCCTCATTTGTCTTCGTCGTCCATCTCCTACTCTGAGTGCCAGCTCCCTAGAGGCAGGGTTTGTAGTTGCTCAGCTCAGCTCTGTGACAGCATTGGCACAGTGTGGATACTCAGCAAATATCTGTTGGAATGAATGAATGAATCTGTCTCCTTCTCGCCTGCTTGGAAAAGAGCCATACCCCGAGGAAGCCTTGTGATATATCTGCACATACCTCCTCAGACCACTGGAGAACACATTTAGAACCAATCCTGAATGCAATAATGATGACATTCCATGTCAGTGCAGTAATGATGACAATAAATGATCTTCACACAGACAACTGAATGAAAGTCTGTTATATGCAAAGCCCCATGCTCCATTCTATACAAACTTCCCAGCTAGAAAATCACTAGCAACTAGAGAACATGGGCTAACACGACCTCAAGATCTGAAGCTAGGAATGCCAAGCAAAGCAAGAGGGAACGGCACCAGCTGGAGTGAAGCCTGCCCCTGGACCTCCATCCTCGGCTCCAGTGCTTTGTCTAAAAGAGGGAACCCCAGTCACCGAGAGCACTTGCTCCCGTGGCCAAATAAAAATCTCAGCACCTTGTCTGCTGCCAAGTCCCAATTCACCTCTCTTGGTAAAACGGAGGACATGAGGCGATGCGCTTTTTTAAAACCCCAAAGCAACCCATATGGATCTACAGCGTGGAAAGCCAGGAAGCAGCAACCTGGCACGGAGCTCA